AGATGCGGTGTTTGGTTTTCTGTTTCTGCATTAGTTTGCTGAAGATAATGGCTTCCAGCTCCATCCATGTCCCTGCAAAGGGCATGATCTCATTCCTTTTTATGGATGCATAGTATTCCGTGGTGTATGTGTACCACATTTTCTTTATCAAGCCTACCATTGATGGGCATTTGGGTTGATTCCATGTCTTTGCTATTGTGAATAATGCTGCAATGAATGTAGGCATGCATGTATCTTTATAATAGAATGATTTATATTTCTTTGGGTATACACCCAGTAACTGGATTCCTGGGTCAAATGGTATTTCTGGTCCTAGGTTTTTGAGGAATCACCACACTGTCTTCCACAATGGTTGAACTAATTTACATTCCCACCAAGAGTGTAAAAGCATTTCTATTTCTCCACAGCCTTGCCAGCATCTGTTGTTTCTTGACTTTTTAATAACTGCCATACTGACTGACATGAGATGGTATCTCATTGTGGTTTTGATTTGCATTTCTCTAATGATCAGTGATGTTGAGCTTTTTTTCATGTTTTTTGACCACATAAATGTCTTTTTTGAGAAGTGTCTGTTCATGTCCCTTGCCCACTTTTTAATGGGGTTTTTTTCTTGTAAAGTTGTTTAAGTACTTTGTAGACTCTTAATATTGAACCATTGTCAGATGGATAGATTGCAAAAAAAATTCTCCCATTCTATAGGTTGTCTGTTCACTCAGATGACAGTTTCTTTTGCTGTGCAGAAGTTCTTCAGTTTTAATTAGACCTCACTTGTCAATTTTTGCTTTTGTTGCAATTGCTTTTGACATTTTTTTCATGAATCTTTGCCTGTGCCTATGTCCTAAATGGTATTACCTAGATGTTCTTCTGGGTTTTTATAGTTTTGGGTTTTACATTTAAGCCATTAATCCATCTGGAGTTAAGTTTTGTATAAGGTGTAAGGAAGGGGTCCAGTTTCAATTTTCTGTATATGGCTAGCCAGTTCTCCCAGAACCATTTATTACATAGGGAATCCTTTCCCTATTGCTTGTTTTCATAAGGTTTGTCAAAGATCAGATGCTCATAGATGTGTGATCTTATTTCTGAGGTCTCTATTCTGTTCCATTGGTCTATATGTCTTTTCTTGTACCAGTACCATGCTGTTTTGGTTACTGTAGCCTTGTAGTATAGTTTGAAGTCAGGTACTGTGATCCCTCCAGCTTTGTTCTTTTTGCTTAGGACTGTCTTGGCTATATGGGCTCTTTTTTGGTTCCATATAAATTTGAAGGTAGATTTTTCTAATTCTGTGAAGAATGCCAATGATAGTTTAATGGAAATAGCATTGAATCTATAAATTACTTTAGGCCGTATGGCCATTTTCATGATATTGATTCTTTCCAACCATGAGCATGGAATGTTTATGTCTTCTCTGATTTCCTCGAGCAGTGGTTTGTAGTTCCCCTTGAGGAGGTCCTTCATGTCCCTTGTTAGCTGTATTCATAGGTATTTTATTCTCATTGTAGCAATTGTGAATGGGAATTCATTCATTTGGCTCTCTGCTTGTCTATTGTTGGCGTATAGGAATGCTTGTAATTTTTGCAAACTGATTATGTATCCTGAGACTTTGCTGAAGTTGCTTATCAGCTTAAGAAGCTTTTGGGCTGAGATGATGGGGTTTTCTAAATATAGGATCATGTCATCTGCGAACACAGACAGTTTAATTTCCCCTCTTCCTATTTGAATATGCTTTATTTCTTTCTCTTGCCTGATTGCCCTGGCCAGAACTTATGCCTATGTTGAATAGAAGTGGTAAGAAAGGGCATCTTTGCCTTGTGCCAGTTTTCAAGGGGAATGTGTCCAGCTTTTGTTCATTCAGTATGATACTGGCTGTGGGTCTGTCACAGATGGCTCTTATTATCTTGAGGTATGCTCCATCAATACCTAGTTTATTGAGAGTTTGTAACATGAATGGATGTTGAATTTTTTCAAAGGCCTTTTCTGCATCTATTGAGATATGGTTTTTGTCTTTAGTTCTGTTTATGTGATGAATCGCATTTATTGATTTGCATATGTTGAACCAGTCTTGCATCCCAGGGATGAAACTGACTTGTCATGCTGGATAAGCTTTTTGATATGCTGCTGGATTCAGTTTGCCACTATTTTATTGAGGATTTTTGCATCGATGTTCATCAGGAATATTGTCCTGAAGTTTTCTTTTTTGGTTGATCTCTGCCAGGTTTTGGTACCAGGATAATGCTGGCCTCATAAAGTGAACTCGGGAGGAGTCCCCCCCTTTTAATTTCTTGAAATAGTTTCAGAAGAAATGGTACCAGCTCCTCTTTGTAACTCTGGTAGAATTCAGCTGTAAATCCATCTGGTCCCGGGCTTTTTTTTTTTTTTTTTTTGGTTGGTAGGCTATTTATTACTGCCTCAATTTCAGAACTTGTTATAGGTCTATCCAGGAATTTGACTTCTTCCCGGTTCAATCTTGGGAGGAGGCATATGTCCAGGAATTTATCCATTTCTTCTGGATTTTCTAGTTTATCTGCATAGAGGTGTTTATACTATTCTCTGATGGTTGTTTAGTTTTCAGGAGCCAGTGGTGATATCCTATTTATCAATTTTTATTGTGTCTACTTGATTCTTCTCACTTTTCTTCTTTATTAGTCCAGCTAGTAGTTTATTTTATTTTATTTTTTTCAAAAGAACAGCTCCTGGATTCATCGATTTTTTGAAGGGTTTTTCATGTCTCTATTTCCTTCAGTTCTGCTCTGACCTTGGTTATTTCTTGTCAACTGCTATCTTTGGGGTTTGTTTGCTCTTGGTTCTGTAGTTCTTTTAGTTATGAGGTTAGAGTATAAATTTAAGATCTTTCTAGTTTTTTGATGTGGACACATAGTGCTATAAATTTCCCTCTTAACACTGCATTAGCTGCATACCAGAGATTCTGGTATGTTGTCTCTTTTTTCTCATTGGTTTCAAAGAGCTTTTGATTCTGCCTTAATTACATTATTTACCCAGGAGTCGTTCAGGAGCGGATTGTTCAATTTCCATGTAGTTGTGTGGTTCTCAGTGAGTTTCTTAATCTTGAGTTCTAATTTGTGCTGTGGTCTGAGAGACTGTTATGATTTCATGCCTTTTGCATTTGGGTTTCCCTTTGCAGGTGACCTGGTCTTTCTCTCTGGCTGCCCTTAACATTTTTCCTTCATTTCAACCTTACAGAATCTGATGATTATGTGTCTTGGGGCTAATCTTCTCATGGAGTATCTTACTGGGCTTCTCTGGATTTCCTGAATTTGAATGTTGGCCTGTCTTGTTAGGTTGGGGAAGTTCTCCAAGATGATATCCTGAAGTATGTTTTCCAACTCGATTTCATTCTCCCTGCCAACTTGGTTTCATTCTCCCCATCTCTTTAACGTACCCCAATCAGCCATAGTTTGGTCTTTTTACATAATTCCATAGTTCTCAGAGGTTTTGTTTGTTCCTTTTCATTCTTTTTTCTCTAGTCTTGTCTATCTGTCTTATTTGAGCAAGACCGCCTTCAAGCTTTGAAATTCTTTCCTCTGCTTAGTCTATTCAGCTAGTGGTACTTGTGGTTGCATTGTGAAGTCCTTGTGTTGTATTTTTCAGTTCCATCAGGTCATTTATGTTCCTCTACAAACTGGTTATTCTGGTTAACAGTTCCTGTAATGTTTTATCATCATTCTTAGCTTCTTCGCATTGGGTTAGAACATGCTCCTTCAGCTCAGCAAACTTAGTTATTACCCACCTCCTGAAGCCTACTTCTGCCAGTTCATCCATCTCAGCCTCCTCCCAGTTCTGTGCCCTTGCTGGAGAGGTGTCGTGATCACTCAGATAAGAAGAGGCACTCTGGCTTTTTGAGTTTGCAGAGTCTTTTCATTGATTCTTTCTCATCTTCATGAGGTTATCTAGCTTCGATCTTTGAGGCTGCTGACCTTTGGATGGGGTTTTTGTGGGGACTATTTTTTGACCCTGTTGTTTTTGTTGCCTTCTGTTTATTTTTCTTTTAATAGTTAAGTCCCTCTTCCATAGGGCTACTGCAGTTTGCTGGGGGTCCACTCCAGACCCTATTCACCTGGGTCCTTCTCACACCTGGAGGTGTCACCCAAGGAGGCTGGAGAACAACAAAGATGGGTGCCTGCTCCTTCCTCTAGGAGCTCTGTCCCAGAAGGGCACCAACCTGATACCAGCAGAAGTGCTACTGTATAAAGTGTCTGGTGACCCTGTTGGGGGGTCTCACCCAGTCAGGAGGCATGGGATAAGGGACCCACTTAACGAAGCACTCTGGCTGCCCCTTGGCAGAGGGGGTGCACTATACTGGGGGAAATCCCACTTGTCCAGACTGTCTGGATTCCTCAGAGCCAGCAGGAGGAAAGACTAAGTCTGCTGATCTGTGGAGATCACAGCTACCCCTCCCCACAGGCACTCCGTCCCAGAAAGATCAGAGTTTTGTTAGGAAACCCCTGGCTGGAGTTGCTGAAATTCCTGCAGGGAGGCCCTACTCGTTGAGCAGGGATGGATCAGGGTCTAGCCTAAAGAGGCAATCTGGCCACAATCTGCCACAATTGCTGTGCTGTATTACGGGGAATTCCTCCTGGGTCCAAACTGCTCAGTCTCCTCAGTTTTCTTAGGCATCAGTGATGATGGTTGCTCCTCCCCCTGAGAACTGGGTAGCCTTAAACAGTCTTGAGCTGAGCAGCCATAGAGAATCTGCACAGTTCTGCGCTTGGGACCCAAGGCTCTGGTGGCGTGGGCTCATGAGGGGATCTCCTGACCTGTGGTTGCACAGATCATTGGAATAAGCATGGTTTCCAAGGTGGGGTAGCAGAATCACTAACTGCCTACCTTGGTTGGAGGTGGGAGCTTCCCTTGCCCCATGTGGCTACCAGGTGGACCATTGCTCTACCCTCCTTTTCCTCGCTCTCTGTGGGTCATGCCAACCACCTAGTCAGTCCCAGTGAGAAAACCTGGATACCTCAGTTGACAGTGCAGGATTCACTCACCTTTTTCTTTCTTCTTGTTGGGAGCCTCCAACTGCAGCTGCTTCTGGTCAGCCATCTTGGTCCCTCCCTCTTACCGATCTCTTAAAAAAACAAATATATGAACCTGAAATGTCAGTTAGACACTAGGTCAGAAAGTAAACCTAACTCTGAAAATTAGTTATTTCATCCTCATATGTCCATAAATTTGCACACATACATGCACATTATGTTCAGTAATCTGAGTTCAGGTTTCAAAAAAGCAAATCACTTGTCAGGCTCTGTGGTTATAAAAACATATGTAATACTTGAGTGTTAAACAAAAATCCTGCTTTGTGGTTATATTTTAATGTAATCTAATTTTTTAAAATGTCAAATGAAACCTATTTTTCCAGTTATAACTCACTAAAAATAGATCAGAGAAGAAACTGCTCATTAACATGTCTACAAACAAATAGAAATGTATTAGTGCCACCCTGTAGTAAACTTCACACCTAATAAAATTTTACTCCAATAAAAAAGCTACTGTGATTTTTTTTTTTTAAATGCAGACAGTTGAAACCAATATTGGTTTAATCAAAAATTCAGTTTTCTAACTTGTAAATATTTTTCTGGATCCCTTATTATATTGAGACTTCTCTGCAAGAAAATTTGATGTCTTTTATGTTTAGGATTCCCCAAAGTTGTGCATTTCACATGCTCCATAAATGTTTACTGAATGTGCTTATGATGTATTAATACTTAAATGCAAAACTCTCTTACAGAAATCATCAAGAATAGACACAAAAGCATAGCTGGAAGGTTATTCACTGTAGCTTATTTAAAATAGCAAAAAAACATTGGAATCAACATATCTATCCAATAATAAGTTGGTTAGATAATTTGTACCATATACTGGTATAATATACTGTCATTAAATATGGTATGGTGATGATCATCTGAAGTCAGGAGTTTGAGACCAGCCTGGCCAACATGTTGAAACTCCTCCTCTGCCAAAAATACACAAAATTAGCTGGGTGTGGTGGCATATGCCAGTAATCCCAGCTACTTGGGAGGCTGAGACAGGAGAATCTCTTGAACCCAGGAGATGGAAGTTGCAGTGAGCTGAGATCATGCCACTACACTACAGCCTGGGTGACAGAATGTCTCAAAAATAAAAATAAATAAACAAAATAAATAAATATAAATAAATAAATAAGCAAAGAAGAAGAAATTACTCATGAAGCCAGTATCAACCACAGCAACTGGTATAAATTCTTTCCTGATCCTTCCCTACGTATAGGATTTTGATACTTTATGTTTGCAGCATATTTTAAATCAGACTACTGGTACACTTTTATCATCATACACTTATTATTTACCTGAAATTAAATAATATATCTTTTGTATATCTTATAACTGTTATAAACATATTAATTAATGATGATATATTACTTAATAGAGCAAAGAGTTTGCTTAGTCATTTCCTAACTGTTAGAGATTTTAAAGTGTGTATGGGTTTATGTCTCTTTAATATTACTTTCTTAAATGTAATAAGCCTGGCACAGTGTATAAGACTGGGCTACTTTTCTCTAATCTTGTATATTCCCTCTACTATCAAATCTTGCCAGTTCTACCTCCTAAAAATTTATTTAATCAATACACTACTCACAGTTCTTTCTCATGCCCAAGCCACTAGCTCTCAATTGCCTTTCAGTAGACTCCTTATTTCCATTTCTTGTCTCTCAATCACTTTGTAGCCAGAATGATCCCTTCGGAACTCACATCTGATCATATAATTCATCTGCTTTTAATTTTCTTTAGTCGCTTTTTATTTGTATTCAAAGTAAAGTACAAAATGAGAACCATGACCTTTGAAGTTCTCTCCCCTCTGGCTCCCGCCTATCTCTCCAGGCTCATCTCCCACCCTCCTTTCTCTGCAGGTCACCATTCTGGACTTCTCGGTTCCTGCATCCCAACAGCATATCCCTCCAGGGGTTAAAATGTGCAGTGTAGTCTTTTCTAATGGAAACCTTTTATTTCTTTCCAGAACAAATTATATTCACCCTGAAGGTCTCGATTTCAACATCACTTCTGCTGAAAGACCATCCTCATCCGCTTCAGAACAGGGTAGGACCCCCAGTTATAAATTTTCTAAGCTCTCTGAGCATTTCCTTTTGATGCAGGACAGAGAAGCCCCAACACTGGAGCTTAACCCAGGAGGATTCTTAGCTTCCCTCAGGAAAGAATTCAAGGGAAAGTCAGTGGTGTTAGACAGCAATCTTTTATTGAACAGTTGCAGAGCAGGGCTAACACATAGGCAGTGTGTCCAGAGTCAGCAATGCATGGGGTCCTGTCAGTTGTATTTATATTCATGTAAACCCAATTTCAATTACATGCAAATTAAGGAGTGGGTCAATGTAAATTGAGGGATGGGTAAATTAGAACTTTCTAGAAAGGGGTGGTAACTTCTGAGTCATTGCCATGGAAATGAGTGGTCACTTTCCAGTCATTGTGATGGCACTGGTGGGAGTATCTTATGCCAATAAGCAATGAGGGCAGTTAGGGATGGCTTTTGTTGCCATCTGCTGGTTCCTGCCAGTTTCTTTACTTTATCCTGTCTGGATCAGATCCTGTTTAGGTCAGCAGGGTTGTGACCAGAAAAAAAGTCCTGCCAGTCTCCTACCTCATTTTCATAATATTCATCAATTCTCTGGTAACAATAAGCATGTTGTTAGGGCTGTAGAAACATGATGCAAAGTGAAGCCTGGTGATTTAAAGTATAGGCTCTAGACCCTAGGCAACTCACCTGACTTCCCTATACTCAAGTTTCTTTATCTTTCTTTCTTTTTTTTTTTTTTGTAGCTCTCTACAAAAGGAGGAAATTGCTTCATCTTTAAAGTAGGATACTGACAGTATCTGTTTCATAGGGTTGTTATAAACATGTAGATATAATCTCTTCTTGCTCTTGCAAAGTGATTTACTATATTTTGAAGGTGCTAGTAGTTTATGTCTAGTAAAGAACGATGCTTCCTATCAAGCCAAAGTTAAGAATAAACATTATCAATATATTTCCTGAAAATACATGAGTTTTGTAGTGTTCTCTCTTATAATCATGAGGCATGTGTCCAGGGATTCCTGAAGCAGGCATGTTTTCCCAGGCCAAGTGCCAAAGCACTGGAGAGGACCTTTTTATAAAGGATGATCTCTGTATTGCCTCAAAAAGGAGGGCACACGGCTAGAGTTATGGAAAACAGGTAAAAGTCCTTGACAATTTCTAAGCCACCATAGCATCACCTGATGCTGCTTGAATACAGCCATTCATAAAAACTGCATATCACCTTATCAAGCCATTATAGCTGCCGAGGATATTTTCTGCTACTCTGCATTGACTGATTGCTGTGGATTGCCCGTCAACAGCACTCAAAGTCAAAAAGCAAGTTCCCTACCAAAAATTAAAGCTGAAACTGCTCCATCCTTAAGCCAGCAATATGGAATTTTAAAGAGTGTTATTATTTTGACAAGTATATTTTATGTTGTCTTCAGTTACTATCACAACAGGAAATAGAATTTCAGCTATTAAATTCTACATTCCCAGGCAGGTTCTACTTCTTCTCTCTGTTTAAGGTGTTACTGTTTCCACATTTGCTTTTTATGAGCAAATTAACATCTCTGAGGGTTATTTTCCTTTCCATAAGGCAAAAATGGGCCCATGTTGTAATTCCATTGGATAAGATTTAGCATTTTTGTCATCACATTGTGATCATTAAAGCAGAAGTCTGCCACATGCTAACAAATACCATATTTAAAATAAACCAACAGGCAGTTATGGCAGTGAAATCACTCATCCAGTTACTATGTCGGTAGTGTAAAAACAAGAACCTCTTTTTAGAAGAAAGATAAAGATAAACTCAAAATACACTATCTACACAGCAATAGAACAACTCTACAATGTTATCTCCAGAACAATTTTCACAAATCATAAATCTAAACCTTCTGCATAGACAGCACACTTAGCAGGCCCCTGTGAAGGAGGACAATGGCTTTAGAAAGATAAATTAATTAGCAGAACTCTTGTGTCTACACGCAAACAAATTAGTGTTTTGTGCACCTGACAGCTCGTATCAATATTGCAAATATCAGTAAGAACTGTGTTTGTGCACCTGACAGCTTGTATCAATATTGCAAATACCAGTAAGAACTGTGTTTGGATTTCATAGGTTGGATTTCCCACCTCTTGCATTTCACTGAGAGCTAAAGATGGTGCTAAAGAAATAGCTCCAAGGAAAAGTATGACACTTGCCTTCAACATTTAGCTTTTCAAACTGAAGTGTTAACTAAAGTATTTATTAACTTCATTTCTCTTTGTCTTGTGACACATAGAATGTATCACTTGCAGCAAAATCCATCAGTTGGAACCAAATCAAGGCAAGATGAGAAAGGTGGATAATGGATTGTGCGAAATAACTTTATGATTTATAAGAAGCACAATTTCAGTTTAATCTTCTGTGTGAATTAGAAATGTCCAGAGTTATTTTAAACATTGCTTTCAGTGAAACAACACATCTTGAATATCATACACATAGGTGGTTTACAGACATAAATCATTAACCAGTAAAGGCAGCTGACATACCAGATTTTATAGAATAAAGTAACAAGAGACCAGAAAGAGATTTCTAGAGCTCAGTCCTAAGAGTTATCTATTAATTACACCAAATTAAATGATCATAATTGTATAGTACATGGCAGGATGGCTTCTTGCTTAGGAGCATATAATATAAATGTCAGTAACATCTCCCATGACATTATCTACAATGACAACTGTTGTACTCAAACCCACGCCAGCCTTCCTGGCCGTCTTATGAAGGGCAGCAGCATACTTGGGGGCTCAGTGCCCCTGCACTGCTAAGAGCTTACATGTCTGCCAGAAGAGAACCACCAAAGTAATCACCCTGATGGGAGCTCAGTCACCAGTTTACATTCAGTAAACTGCTTTTTCTTCCCAAGGTTTTTTTTTTCCTTTTGGAGGGAAAACACTAAAGGCAATGACATCCATATATGTTGAAGTGGTGTTGATGATCATTAGATGCATGGCTAGTAAATAGTATAAATAGTGATATAAAGGTTGTGTCCTAATAAAAATACCTGTGGGCTATTAAAGAAATGATTAACTTTAATTTTAAAAATTGTCTGGATTTTCTAAATAATCCTCTGGGGCTGATGGATACAGTCAATTACATTTCAGAAAACCTAATCTTACAGTGGTCTCTGAGAGTGATTTGGGAGACAGGCCATTTGGAATACAATAGAGAAACGAGTTAGAGATTAAAAATTCCTGATATTCTATACTAAGCAGGACTTTAATGATCACCGAATTCAGCAGTCCTTAACTTTTTAGGATGCATTATCACTTTGGGGGATCTGATCAAAGCTACAGACCTTCTCCCTAGAGGGAAAATCTTTAGACGTCTCAGAATCCCTGAAGCTCATCCTTGGACATCAATTTAAGAAACTTCATTTATAGATGAAGAAATTAAGGAGAAGAGAGACGAAGTGACTCATCCAGGGTCATGCAGCTTGTTAGTGACAGAGGCAAGATGGAAAGCCTGCTTTTCCTGCTCCTTGTCTGCTGTCATCTGCTGCATCAGGCTCTATGTGGACTTAAATGTTCTACTAAACCACTCCTATCAACTGGCCAAAGAATGGTTACTAAGTGTCTATAATTAGAATTTATACCCACTAGTCCTCTTTCTAATCAAATACAAAATTTTTTTCTCTGTGTTCATTCTCCTGAACCTATTCGGTCCATGTGAACTCACTCTATCCTCCTAGCCTCCTCCCCCAGCACCACCACTTTCTTAAAACTCCCTCCTTCCAGGGTTCCTGTGATCATTCAGATTCTTCCCACTTCTTCCAGGGTTCACCTCCCTCCCTTTATGTGTGTGTGCGTTTTTAAGAGACAAAGTCTTGCTCTGTCACCCAGGCTGGAGTGCAGTCATGCAATCCTAGCTCACTGCAGCCTCAAACTCCTAGACTCAAGAGATCCTCCTACCTCAGCCTCTCTAGCAGCTGGGACTATAGGCATGCACCATGGTTCCAGCTAAGTTTTTCATTTTTTGTAGAGAAGTTGTCTTGCTATGCTGCCCAGGCTGGTCTTGAACTCCTAGGCTCAAGCGATCAGCCTGCCTCCACCCCCCAAAGTGTTGGGATTACAGGCACAAGCCACCACACCTGGTATTTTCTCTCATTTCTTATCTCCTTAGTTGCTACCATTTCTCCTCTCTCCAGGGGTTCCCTAAAGCTCAATCCTACTCTCCTTTATATCCATTCTCAACCTTCTTACTGTTACTTCTATTGAATAGAACTCCTGTGAAAATTGTCAGTACCCAAAATGGAGTCACTTATGTCAAACGCTAACAAAATGCAGTGGGAAGCCATGAAGGAAGGGCCCTCACACATGTGTGCCTGCACCAGGAACCGCCAGAAACCACTTCCTCAATTGGAAATTTCCAGTTAAGCCACTTCTATGAAAGCTCTCTCCTACTAACAGCCAGTACCACTAATAAGCAAACGCCACTGCATGTAACAAGACCCTGTAGTCAGTGGTCTTTATTTCAAAACAGGTACGTGGATATCTTTTTGCCTTTAAAAGCTTCCTTTTTTCTCAACTCCCTTGGATACCCTTATGGTCCTCCATAGCAGGCATGTATTATGTACTATGTCGATTGCAGTTCCTTGCTATTCCCCAATAAGCTTGAGAATTAATCCCCGTTGCTCAATTTAGGTTGACACCATTCTCACCCTGTTTACAGAAACACTTCCCAATAATAGTTTTAACAGGTACCTCTATTGAATATAATTTCCTCCCCCTTACCTGTTCCTATTTCCACCCTCTCATCTATGAGGCACTGGTGACTTGAACACTGCTTGTGCCCTGTGATGTCCAGCTCTATATTTGGCACATACATAGACAGCAAGAGCAGTATAAATGTGGATTAACTGACATGTGAGGGTTTCCTCACATCTCAGTGAAGATAGTATACAAATAGAAAAAAAAGTGATAGTATACAAATAGAAAATTTAGCAATAATTCTGGTGATTTTATAAGAAGTTTTGCAAATTTGACAAAATTTACTTTTTCAAATGAAACTTTGCTTTCTTTTTTTGCAAGACAGTATAACTAGTTTTATTCTTTTTTGGGGCAAGTGGTTTCTTAAAAGAGGGTACAGCTCCCCCTCATGGATGATAACGATATTTTAAAGACAGCCCTTCCAACTCTATGGTGCATTCTGAAATGTGTGGTTAATAAAACTAAGTCGTACATAGCAACAACATTCAGACTGTTAATTATTCAAAGCTCCTCATGTAGATCTAAAACAACAACACGTTCTAAGGACTGATCCTTCTTAAGCAGAAGTATATTTTCAAGACTTCAAAAGGAGATATTCAGTAACATCATTTGATATTCAGTACTCAATTACAAAAGACTTTCTTCATTAGCTCAATAAATCAAACCACTGTGATAATGAGGCCAGAGTCCTGGATTTGGTTCTAGTTTGGGAAGCTGCTTTGATTGGTTCCATAGCCTCAAGTTTCATACTAACTCCCGGGAGTCATCATAAAATGATTTGTCCTGAGTCACAGGATATCCGGAGTGCCAGAGAGCAAAGAAACAGTTCAGTTCTGTCTTTCTCCGACTGGGAATCACCCCCCAAAATGCTGGGGCGTTAAAAGTGGCTTTATATTTCTAAAAATTCTTTCACATAATGGCAACTGCCTTCTTTCCCCAGAACCACAAGGCGGCTAATAAAGCCCTTTTTTTTTTGGAGATGGAGTCTCGCTCTGTCGCCCAGGCTGGAGTGCAGTGGCGCGATCTCGGCTCACTGCAAGCTCCGCCTCCCGGGTGCACGCCATTCTCCTGCCTTAGCCTACCGAGTAGCTGGGACTACAGGCGCCCGCTACCATACCCGGCTAATTTTTTTATTTATTATTTTTTATTTTTAGTAGAGACGGGGTTTCACCGTGTTAGCCAGGTTGGTCTTGATCTCCTGACCTCGTGATCCACCCGCCTTGGTCTCCCAAAGTGCTGGGATAACAGGCGTGAGCCACTGCACCCGGCCAATAAAGCCCTTTTTAAAAAAATTTCACTATAAGCTCCAGGATACACGTGCAGAACATGCAGGTTTGTCACATAGGTATACCTGTGCCATAGTGGTTTGCTGCACCTATTGACACGACCTCTAAGTTCCCTCCCCTTGCCCCTTACCCCACAACAGGCCCTAGTGTGTGTTGTTCCCCTCCCTGTGTCCATGTGTTCTCATTATTCAACTCTCACTTATGAGTGAGAACACACAGTGTTTGGTTTTCTATTCCTGTGTTAGTTTGCTGAGGATGATGGCTTCCAGCTTCATCCATGTCCCCGCAAATGACATGATCTCAGTCCTTTTTATGGCTGCATGGTATTCCATGGTATACATGTACCTATTTTCTTTATCCAGTCTATCATTGATGGGCATTTGGGTTGGTTCCATGACTTTGCCATTGTAAACAGTGCTAAAATAAACATATGCGTGCATGTGTCTATTAAAGGCCTTTTAAATGTTCATCAAGTTACTTGCTTTTTGTGACTATGTAAGTCAGACAGTTTTACTAAGTGTGTGTGTGTGATTCCATCTCAAAATTTGACATTCCACTGAATACAAAAAAATTAAGATAATCTACTTGACAAAATACTTTTCAAATTACCTTTTTATTTGGTCTTTTATATCTGGAGCCATGGCAGTCTGTATAAAATCAGGAGCATATCCCAGGTCCTAAAATATAAAAATAATGTATTATTCACTATTAGATATATTTGGCTATCAAAGGCAATAATGCAGACTAGTCAACCTTTTAATTGTTTCCAAGGCTATAATGAACATTAAGAAATTGTAATATTTATGTTGCTTGATGTGAACTAATCCCATGTGAATCTGAAATATAATCAATTGATGTAAAGATCTAGTATTATGTTCAAGACACACTAAACTTTCATTATCACCAAAGTGAAAAAATTGGGCTTTAAAACAACTAAACAAAGTAACCACTTCTCTTTTACGATCTCTTAGCAGCTTTTTTGTTCACTTGTTTTTGAGGCAGGGTCTCTCTGTGTCACCCAGGAGGGAGTGCAGTGGCACAAGCACAGCTCATTGCAGCCCCAACCTCCCAGGCTCAAGCGATCCTCCCGCCTCATTTTTTTAAAAAATTGTTTTGTAGAGATAGGGTCTCACTATGTTGCCCAGGCTGCTCTTGAACTCCTGGGCTCAAGTGATCCTCCCACCTCAGCTTCCCAAAGTGCTGGGATTACAGGCCTGAGCTATCACACCCAACTAGCCACAGTTTTAACTACAAAGTTTCACTAAAACCTAAAGTTACCAACATTATAAATGCCCTAAACATTCATTACTAAAAGCCTACACTATTCCTTAGAGAAACCAGTGATTTCACATTTAGTTGATAGATTATAGAAACAGATACAGAAAACCAAAAGGGTAGATTGGAGTAAGAGTCACCACAGGTGATGTAGCTATTCAAAAGTACCTCCTTTGTGATCAAACCGCCCTTTAAAGCACAAACTAGATAATTAACCTAGGTACGTTATGATGGGGACTTTTTAAATTAATTTCACCAAATCAAAGCAGCTTCTTACATAGACTACAAATCACAAAGTTGATGCTATAGCTGTAATAATACTTACATATTCTCTAACAAGCTAAATAATTTGAATGGTTCTCTTGTCTAAATGGAATTTCTGCTGGGGTATTCCATGCCTCAGGCCAATTTCTAGGCCTTAAATATTAAAATAAGAAAATTTAATCCATCTGTAGCAACTGAAATATTTCAAAATTAAGACTAAAACATTTATCAGGTACTATATATGACAGCATAAGCAGTTCTCCATGGTAATAAGGTTTTCCATAAATAAAATTTTAATGGCTATGTAAGATTTTATTGCCTGACTCTCTCCTCATTTATTTAACCATTTCCTTATTGTTAAGCATTTAGGTCTTTCCTTCTGTGTGTGTTTTATAAATAAGGCTACCATATCCATCTCTGTGAACAAAAGTTCTATAATTAGCTGTATTTCCTTAAGATATTCTGATATAAAGGTCATAAATAACCAAACCTACCTTTTTTCTAACAACAATAGCACTTAATATTTTTAAAGTTTTACAATAAATCACTTACATAAACACCGCCTTGTATAATCAGCCTTTAAGGTATTGTCTTTAAGGTCTAGCCTTAGCGGTATGGCTGGGGGCTATTAAGGTGACTACAATAATTAACTTATAGGTGATTTTACTTTTGTAGCAGTTAGCAGGAACATAGTTTATCTCTGAGAGATAATAAAAAATCAAATAGGCTGACCAAGGCAGGCGGATTGCTTGAGCCCAGTAATTACAGACCAGCCTGGGGAAATATAGAAAGAATCCATCTCTACAAAAAAAAAAAAAAAAATTAGCCAGGTATGGTGGTTCATAACTGTAGTCCCAGCTACTCAGGTGGCTGAGGTGGGAGGATCGCCTGGGAGGTAGAGTCTGCAGTGAGTTCAGATAGCACCAGTGCACTCCAGCTTGAGTGACAGAGCAAGATTTTGTATCAAAAAAAAAAAAAAAAAAAGAACAGAAAATAATCTAGCTTCTTTCCATACAGTAGTTGTCTTAGTCCGTTTTTACGCTGCTGTAAAGAGGCTATGTGAGATTGGGTAATTTATAAACAAAGGAGGTTTAATTGACTCACATTTCCATGTGGCTGGGGAGGGCTCAAGAAACTTACAATCATGGTGGAAGGCAAAGAGGAAGCAAGACATGTCTTACATGGTGGGAAGAGAGAGAGAAAAGGAGAGAAGGGGGAAACACCAGACACTTATCAAACAACCAGATCTCCCTCACTATCAAGAGAACAGTATATGAGAACTCCCTCACTATCAAGAGAACAGTATGGGAGAAATCACCCCAGTGATCCAATCACCTCCCACCAGGTCCCTTCCTGGACACATGTGGGGATTATAATTCGACATGCCATTTGGTTGGGGACACAAAGCCAAACCATATCAGAAGCTGAGGAACTAGAAGAAAAACACAAAGTGTATTTTACTTTTTAAAATTTAAATTTAACAATGAATTAAAGTTGAAAAAATGTATGAGTAAAATATTATTGTACAGTACATTATCCAAATATAGAAGTTGTAGATATATTCTCATTCATTTGGAGGTACTTCCTGGCAACCCTCTCTATCTTAATGAGTTGTCACTGTACTTTACATTTCAACCATTGGCATATTAGAGTGGTAATCCATATACTTAATCATGCTGACAAAAAGTAAATTACTATATGGTAACAGACAAGTAAGGAAAATACAGCAGTGGTGACAGATTTCCCTATTCCCGGTGATCTCCAAGAATTATTTCCTTCCAATGGCAAAGGTCTCATTTTAAAACAAATCATATATTTCCTTTACCCAATGTACAATTGTCTTTGCTATTCCAAGTTCATAATTAATTCAGGCAAAAATTGATCCTGCTTATTGACATATGATGTAAATATGAGGGGTCAGTAGCATCCTCAAAGGAAAGATTTGCTGTTACCAAGCCCCTAGTTTTCCATAATCCTAAAATAACTGGTTTTCTTCAAGTTACTTCCTGATTAAAAAATGTTATGCAAAGGCAGTTCCAAGAGTACAAAAAAAGGGCTATAAAAGCCTAAAGAAAAAGTACCATCACAAGACAGTGTTTTCTTCTAAAACAGTATTTTTAAAGGTAGGAGCTTTGTCTTAATGTGTGTGTCCCCAGTCTCTTTCACTGTACCTGATGAGCACTTAGCAGATGTTGGCTGAATGATGGTTGAATTAATAGGAAAGCATATTTTAAAACAGCTCTCCACCTTAAGTTTCTTGATTTCATCTCTCTCACTTTTCATAAGCTCTCATGGCATACTCCAGGTTTTCTTGTCTCTGATTTCTTATTAACTACCAAAGACTCTTTTATTTTGAAATGTTGGAATTCCTAAAACCTACCAGAAATATTTTAGGTAAAGATTTACCAAAGATGGAAATATTTTCCACTAGGTCAGAGGCATTGGCATAGCAGTCTTACGTAAATACATAAAATAAATGCAGCATTAAAGGTATTTTTTAATTACTGAAATATACATTTGCACATTTTTTTTCTGTATAATGCAACCGCAATACCCTATAAGACGGATGGTTTTTACAATCATAAAAGAGTAAACTCAGACATGATGTAATATGCATATGGAAAACCATTAAGATATAATAAGGGAAATACTGAAAGATAAATGGTCCAGTAATGAATTATACATTACTTCTCATGGATAATGATAACTTAAAAACAGCTTGTCTGTTTTTAGAGCACTTGAGCTCAGAAAAATCAACAGCAACTATTTCACAATGAGATGCAATACCCTCCAGTGAAACTCTGACAATCTCCAATTAAGCATTTCTACAAACTGCACGCAAAACAGTAACTTTTCCTCAAAGGCTTCAGCAAAGGAAGAAAAATTTCACTTTGGGATTTGACATTGAGACATTTAGTAAAAAGGGATGCAAGTGCCAAATTCAAACAGGGCACAACCAGCAGTTGTGTCAGTGATCGTGGGAATATAGTGGAAAGGAAGAAAAGAAAGACAAGAACAAATGGATGCCACAAAAATCAGACAAAGCTGACTTTGTGAATGATGGATAATTCAAATGACTGCTGTAGGTTCCAGAGACAATGTAAAATCCGAGACGAAGATGTAAACTGCACTGCAAATTAGTGTCATGTATTTTTAAATGTTTCCGTCCTCAGATTCTTAAATCATATCTGCCAGTGTCTCAATAGTCCAGAAGCAAACGGAGTTGTCCATGAAATCTGCTTTCTTCAGGAAAGGTATTTGAATAAGTTGAAGACACAGTGGAAAACTCAAAAAGCAGTCAAATGGGCTGTCAGTCTTCCTTCCCTTCAGTGTGCAAGAATCGGCAAGCAGTCCAAAGCCAAGCCATTAAGGTTCAAGGATACAGCAGCAGCACAGGTCTAGCTAGACAACCCTCTCCCAAGGGCTGCACTGTGCCCTCCCTAAAGCAAGTCATTCTCTACAAGGGATGGAGCCCCGGGGAGCGCAGCTGGACTCTGTCCCACTCCAACTGTGGGGCTGAAGGTTTCTAAAGAATTTAATGAACGAATGTGCTTATATGCTGTGTTCATCAGAGCTTTAAAAAATAAAGATGAGAAGATAACAGAAGTAATCATCTTAAAGTATTTCTCTATGGTTTATGTTTACACCCGCCGTGGATTTTAAAAAGGTAAAAATTGTGTTAATTTTGGTATAAATCTGGAAACAACAATATACCAAGACAGTATCCCGGGTTCAGGAAATAGGTCGTATTCTAGTTTGTACTCCCAAGATTTAGCACAGTGCTCAAGAAATATTTATTGCCAAGTAAATGTGAGGCCAAAACAATATCTATGTATTTCAAATTATGTAGTTGTATCTGAATTCCTGGTGAATAAATGTGAGGCAATGAATATTCCTGGAGAATACATCTTTGTACAGTTGATCAATACTGTGCCAGGCAAGGATGAATAAATCCTGGTCCCAGTCCTAAGAGTGCTTACAAGGCTGTTTTACTTGATAGGGAAATTAAGGCACTTACTGGCCACAGTCAACTTCTTCATTGAAGAATTTCCTTTAACTTCAAGTGTACTGTCTCACGGTCAAGCAAGCTGTTCTGCTATCCAGATCTAGAACAACTCTACCCTGGTTGAGCCCTCATACGTAGGGATCATCTTCTGGTGACCTTGCACCATTTTCTCCTTAACCTCCATATCTGGAAGAAACACAACGTTATTTGGGGAGGTGGGGCTGCTGGGGAGGCAGCTGGTGAGAAGGATTTGGGGAGCAGGTGGACATAAGATTGGTCAGCAATGTATCTGGGTTCTTTAAGTCCTGTTTTGAGCCTGTGTGGTCATTGGGGAAGGGATTGCAAACCAGGGAAAGGGTACATCACAACCAAGACAAGACGACTTGGGTTCTGAAGCTGTCCGCATTTACCTAGGAGTCCTGTAGTCTGTGATTCTTAAACTTCAACAAACAAGAATACAGAACTGAATCTGGATTTCAGGGACCTTCAACTCACAACTCTTTGTGTCCTAAGGCTTCAACTCTAACTCAGAGTCTAAAGAATATGGCCTATACCTTGAAGTTTTTGTGGAAAACCTCAAGATGAAAAGGGGAATCAGCATAGCATTTATCTGCCTTTCTCCTGTCTTCAAACCGTGGCAGTTAAAAGCTCATACGTATCTATATGCTAGCTGACCTCCTTCCTGTCCTCAAAGAGCCTAAACTGTATACACCTTGTAAAGTTGGCTAGACTACAGCAAGAGACTATGAGTACCCTGAAAATAAGGACATACTATATTTCCCTTTGAATCCCCAAAACCTAGCAATGTGTGCTGAACTAAAATAGACGAGTCAGTACTCATCTAGCAGGACCATGCTGAGGAATTGATGACTGGCAGCTTGTCACCAGCTAATTATTTGGGTTTCAGGTGAGTATGTTAAGTGGCTGAATTTGTGCACACGTTTTTTTAGACAGATTGAGATAATAAGATAAGATACAATAAGATAATGTATTGCCTTCTCAGGCACAACAGGACTACAGAAAATTATGCAGAAACAATAGGAAGTCAGACATTCAGTTCCATTAGAATGTGTAAATATAGGTATAGATCCTAGCCATTATTCATTTTCTAATTTTCAGTATGCTACAAGCACTGAAACCACTCACCCTGAAATGCTTTGCACAGTACATTTCACACAACTGTCTCCAGTAATATTAGTTCTATACGTATAAATGTGGCTTTGTAGCTTACAAAACAGATTCACACATATAGTCTCAAAACTGTTCATTTTCTAGCCTCCTCATAGCTGAGTCTTTTATGAACATTTTTGTTCCACCTTATGCCTAAAATAAACCTTCAAGATATTATATTATATCTATCACAAAAGTGTGGAAAATGGACCTTCTGAGAAGTTCACACTACCAGTGAGTGTGCAACCATGATTGGAAACCAGGTTTCACTAATTGTAAAGCCAGTTTTTTCCAGTATACAAACTGGCCTCACAATGTGATCTTCACTTTGGCCCTATGGTAAAAATATTATGAATATAATTTATTCAGTAAGGATACATTGGTAATCTTGCACACCAAGCACTGTTCTAGGCACTGGAGACAATGCAGTAATCAAAATGGACACAACCTCTGCCCTCTTTGGAGTTCACTTTCTGGAGTGTAGGTAGGAAAAGAAACAACAACAAAATATTTGTCAGCTGTCAAGTACTGTGGTGAAAACTAAAGCCAGGTAAGGGGTTAGGAAGTATTGAGAAGGCTGGGCACAGTGTCTCTCACACCTGTAATCTCAACACTTTTGGAGGCCAAGTGGGAGGATCACTTGAGCCCAGGAGGTTGAGACCAGCCTGAGCAACATAGCAAGACAAAATCTCTACCCAGAAAAAAAAGGAAAGAAAAGAAAAAAAATCTTAAAATTAGCCAAGTGTGGTGGCATACACCTGTAGTCCCAGCTACTTGGGAGACTGAGGCAGGAGGATTGCTTTAGACAGGAGTTTGAGGCTGCCTTGAACTATGTTCATGGTATTGCACTCCAGCCTGGGTGACAAAGCAAGACCCCATCTCAGTTAAAAAAATAATACCGAGAAGAATCCCATAGAATTGTAGCTATTGGATGTAAATCGGTCAGGGGACAGCGTCTTTGATAAGATAATATTTGAATGAGTAGAGACCTTAAGGAAGTGAAGTGCTTGCCAAGCACTCTTTGTGGAAAGAGTGTTCCACATGACGTGCCTGCAGTGTTGGTGAGCAAAGGAGAGAGTAGAAAGAGATAAGACCAGAAAGGAAGATGAAACTAAATCACAGTCTTGCAGATCTCTAAATGAGATAAACTATTGGGAAGTTTTCATCCAATGAGGGATATGATTCTCCTGCATGAGTACTCTTGCAGCTGTGTGGAGCAAAAAAAACTTTGGGAGTGCAAGAGAGCAACTGGGATGACTAGATCAGAGGCCATTGATATAGATCAACTAGAAAGACGGTGGCGTGGACTAGGATGATGGTGGACATCAAGTTTGACTGCAAAGATTTTGGCTTGAGCATGGAAAGACAGAGATTCCATTTAATGAAGTGAACACGACTTGGGAAGAATCAGATTTGGGGTAAAGATCAGGAGTTCCGTTTTGAACATGTCACTTTTGATATGCCTATGAAGATGTCAAGAAGGCAGCTGGATACCTGAGTATGGATTTTAGAGGAGGACAAATCCATGTTGGAGGCATAAGTGTGGGATTCTTCCAAGGTGGTGATGTTAAATATCATAGATAGAGAGCACTTAGAGAGGACAGAGTCAGAGAAGAGGCCTAGTACACATCAAACTTTAGCTTTTAGAGTTGAGGAGGAACCAGTCAAGGAGACTGAGAAGTAATGGGCAAGGAGGAAGGAGGAAAACCTCATGAGACTTCAAGAAAAAAGCATTTCAAGGAGACAATGATCACTTTGTTTAAATGCCACTGGTAATCGAGGAAGAAGACAGCCAAGAATCGAAGACTGAATTTAGCAGTCACAGGACAATGGATGGAGGTTATTGGTCCCAGATTCCCTGAAATGAGAAAACCAAGGTTCCGAGAAGTTAAATAAATTGAACCACCAAAATCACATAGCCAATTAGCAGCAGAACTGAGTCCAGAACTAAACACTGAACACAGGCCATCTGAATCCTGTTTCCTGAATCCCAGACCAGGACTTTCCTTCAATAACATGATGTCATCCTTCTCACGGTAACTGTGATTCATTAGGGGGACTGGAAAAGAATATTAAGACTTTAAACAAAAGGCATAAACTTCAGTAGCAGAATGTCAATGACAGACAATGCTCAAAGGCCCTCAAATCAAATGAAACAGGCAGCCACGGCAACCAGGGCATGCCCAAGTGTCAAAACACATGTCAACACACAAAAAAGTTCACGGCCCCTCAAAAGAAATGATCTATGCATTCTATTTTGCTAGATGGTTTCTACATAAATACCCGAGGCCTGATTACCATCACTTGGTTTCTTTACTAAGTTGCCAAAAATGGGGTAGGGGAGGATTTTAGTAAATCAAACTAATGTTTAGGCAGAAAAAAGGCACAAGAAAGCCCTAAACAATTTAAGTATTAAAAACTAGTTTTAATCGTCCCTACCGCTACCCTCAAATCCACAACCACCACCAAACTAAGACGCGCTAGGATTGCAAGAGCCGACTGTGTTGCAAACCTCCGCTGGACGGTTTTGCAGACAAGGAAGTGAAGATTTCCAGTGGGAGGAAGAGCGAAGAAGAGGACATAGACAAGCTAGCAAAGGGAAGGTGCAAAATAGGAAAGTTACCAGGACAGGCAGGGAGGGACTGTCACAGGGGAGGGAGAAGAAGGAAGGCAGCCACTTTTCCAGGGAGAAGTTGTTTCCAGGGAGAAGTTGAGCAAAGAGTTGGCACCGGGCCCTCTCTACCTCTGGAGAGAAGGGAAAAGCAAAGCTGGTTCGCGTGGTAGAGAAGAGCCCACTTCCAGAGTCCAAATGGCATCGCCTGGTGTTCGTTGTCTGCCTCTGGGGCTGCAACTAACTCCTCATGCCTCTTTTGCCGCCTTTCCTCCCTGGAAAGAGGAGGTGAAAAGGGTCCCCGGGCTCGGGTGGGCATGATCGCGGGACGCAGGCAGCCGGGGGTTACCTGATACCTCCGTGTCTCCCCAGAAGGCGCGGCGCCGCCCTCCAGCCCCACCCGGCCACTCCGCGGTCCTCGGGCTCTGGTGTCTGTCCAATCTCCGGGACCCGACGCCCGAGGCGGCCGTCCGCGAGACCCGGAGCACGAGCCTCACCCTCAACGCTGGGCACTGCTCAAGGCCGCTCGAGGAGCAAGGACACACACTGGCCGCGCGGCTCGGCTCGGTTCGGCGCAGCTGGGCTGGGCCGGGCCGGGCTGGCCCGGGCTGGGCCGGGCTGGGCTGGGCCGGGCTGGGCCGGGCTCCGGAACCCAGGAAACACGGCCCCGCACGCCCCCTACCGGGCAGGCTCCATCTGCGCCCCAGCCGAGTCCGGTACTGGCATCTTGGCAGCCTCACCTACCTTGAGGTTCCCAGCTCCTGTCATCCTGTGAGCAAGTGATTTCAGCAACCATCACAGCAAAACCTAGTCGAGGGTTGCTGGTTCACAGTTTCTCCACTTTTTTGGAGTTTATGCCAAATAATTTAAAGACCCTCCCCATCTTTTTCCAAATTCTGGCGTTTGAGAAGGGAAAATTCAAAAAGATGGGGATATAGGAGCCCCTAAGTGCTCTCCCCAGAAGCCAGGGAATTGTAATTCTGTTCCTCTAGGGCCCTGAAGAACCTGGCTTTCTTGTAATTACAAATGCCTTTCACTGCAAAGTGGCTTCTTTCCTCCTCCTGCTCCCTGCCCTGCGACAGTCAGTCCCTCCCTGTTCTGTCCTGGTAACTTTCCTGTTCTGCGCCTTGTTCCTGTGCTAGCTTATCTATCTCTGTTTCTTCTTTTATCTCGCCTTTTGGAAATTTTCACTTCCTGCTCTGCAAAACCATCGGAGCAAGGCCTGCTGCGGACATGAGGACCACTGCAAATATTTTTTTCCAGGTTCCGAGATGGATGCAAAAGACGCAGGAGCTGACAGTCTAGTTAATTTTTAGCTGACAAAGTCTCTCTCTCTCTCTCTCTCTCTCCCCCCCCCACTATTTGAGTAGTTTTGTTTCCATCAGCACTCTCGTCTGTCCTTCCAGTCCTTTCATCCTGACTCTCTTCCTGAATTGAACTTAGGGAGGCAAGAGTTTAAATTAGAAGCAGTAAAATTGTATAATAAAAGGAAGAAACAAACCAGGCCTTGCTTCTTAACAGGGTGACTAATACAGTTTATGGATTATCTTGGTAGTTACATGACTAATAATAACCGTTAACATTTATTGAGTTCTTACTGCTGACCAGAAACTGTTTTAAGAGCTTTATTTATAATAATAATAAAATCAGCTCTTATGTAATGTTTTAAATGTTTACATTTATTAACACATCAAACAAAACAACCCTGTAAGATGGGTAATAATATTATCCCCTTTTTACAATTGAGGAAATTGAGACAAAGAAGCAGGTACATTTCCTAAGGTCACACAGCTAGAAGTAAGTTATAAAGCTGGAATTTAAGCCCTGACAGCTTGGTTCCAATGCCCCTATTCTTAATACTCTTAGTTACCATGTTATACTGCCTAAATAAAACAAACAAAAAACACTATGATCCCAGGTCTCATTTAATTTTCACAATAAAGCTACAGGACGCGTACTGTTACCGCCTCCTTTTATGAAAAAAAGGAAACAGGCACAGAGAGGCTAACTAATAGTCCAGGAACACAGAGCTACTAACTTGTACAGGCAAGATTAGAACAGTGAGTCTGATCCTTAACTAACCATGGGAGGGAGATACTTTTTTTCCTACATTCAATCATGCAAAGGGAGAAAGAATTGCCTAGAAAATGTGTGATGCTTTCATAACCTTCAATTAGTGAGCCCCAACTGGGCTTGTTGGCTCTTGCCTATAATCTCAGCACTTGGGGAGGCCAAGGATTGATTGAGGCCAGGAGTTTGAAACCAATCTAGGCAACTACCAGGACAACATTGTGAGACCCTACCACTACAAAACTAAAAAATTTAAAAAATTAGTTGGGCGTGGTGATGCATGCCTGTAGTCCCAGCTACGTGGGAGGCTGAGGCCGGAGGATTGCTTGAGAACAGGAGTTTAAAGCTGCAGTGAGCTTTAATTGTGCCACGAAACAGCAGCCTGGGCGGCAGAGGGAGAGCTCATCTCTTAAAGAAAAACAAAAACAAAAACAGCCCCTTGTGTGATGGTTAAACAAATCCAGCCCCTTGATTAGACTGAAGGATGCAAAGTATTGATCCTGGGTGTGTCTGTGAGGGTGTTGCCAAAGGAGATTAACATTTGAGTCAGTGGACTGGGCGAGGCCGATTGACCCTCAATGTGGGTGAGCACCATCCAATCAGCTGCCAGCGCAGCTAGAATAAAAGCAGGCAGAGGAACATGGAAGGAATAGACTGGCTGAGTCTTCTGGCCTTCATATTTCTCCCGTACTGGATGCTTCCTGCCCTAGAACTTCGGACTCCAAGTTCTTCAGCTTTTGGACTCTTGGACTTATACCAGTGGTTTGCCAGGGGCTCTCAGGCCTTCAGTCATAGACTGAAGGCTGCACTCTCGGCTTCCCTACTTTTGAGGTTTTGGGACTCAGACTGACTTCCTTGCTCCTCAGCTTGCAGGCGGCCTAGTGTAGGACTTCACCTTGTGATGATGTGAGTCAATTCTCCTTAATAAACTCCCTTTCATATCTACATCTATCCTATTAGTCCTGACCCTCTAGAGAACCCTGAGTGATCCACCTGGGCTTCAGGCTGAGTCCCTGAGAGTCGAGGCCTGACATTGGGCTGAACTGTCGGTTCAAGCAGCTGCTCTCTTCCTGCACTCCACTAGCAATGCCAAGAGCACAAGGGGCCCTTCGCCAAACTCAGGGCCAGACTAAGGTCCAGCCGTATTACCTACAGGTGAAACAACTGTTCCCTTAGGAGACCAGGGCATTAAAAAAAAAAAGCCTCCACACAGTGTGGCACATGGTGCGCTCTCATCCCTTCTGTGGCCAGATCTCCTGGACACTTTGGGAAGGGACAACTAGGGGCGCCAGTGTCACCAAGTAACCTTTGCCCTTTTAGAGGAAATAACGTTGCTTTCTCCAGGAGCACAACAGTAATTGAAGAAGAGGCACAGAGGGTAAGTAGAACCATGACCATACGAACATCTGGAGTTATCAGAGTTTATGACATTCATTTATTTCTCCCTGCCGAGGCGAGGCCTTTCTCACCTGATAGAATGAATTTTTCAAGGGATTTTGAGGCTGATCAAGGGAAAAAACATAATCACGAAGTGGGAGTAGCACACAATGAGCTCTATTTGGGAAGCACTTTAGGTTTGCGTGGTGAGGGGGAGTCCCCCGCAGCGTGGACCCATCCAGAGCTCTGGCAGCATGGAGGCCACCACTCCAAAGGAGAGGAGGATAAAGGAGGCCCTGAAGAAGAGGAATCAGAGAGGGGACTTCCATATTTAGGTAGCATCCCTCAGCACACCGCAAAATCTCAGGATCACATACCCCCAAAGGGCAGCTGCTGAGTGGGTTCTTTTTAGATGCAAAGTTTATCTTTGCAGAACTTGGGTGCAGTTGCTCAGGGTTGACGGAGCAGGCAGTTTCTAAACAGCTAAAAATCTGTTTATTTAGGCTGTGTTTAAAGCATTAAGATATATAAACATTTGACTTGTTGCCAACCTGCTGTTAAAAAAAAAAAATCAACAACCTTACCAACCTTGGCAACATAGTGAGATCCCATCGCTACCAATTTTTTTTTTTTTAATTAGCTGGGCATGGTGGCATGCACCTGTAGTCCCTGCTACTCAAAAGGCTGAGACAGGACAATCACTAGAGCTCGGGAGTTGGAGATTACAGTGAGCTATGATTGTACCACTGCACTCCACACTGGGTGGCAGGACGAGAGCCCCCACCCCCATCCATCCCTTAAAATAATAATAATAAATTGTAAAAAAAAAAAAAAAAAAAAAAATCAACAGCTTAGAAGTCAATATACAGAGGCAATTTAGGGGTCATTTATTATACCCTAACTGCTAGATTGGAAGTACCTCCAAACACACAGAGAATCCCAAATTCTCAATTTCAGATTTTGACCTGAGGACCCATTTCAAATGCTGTTGACTGACACTAAGAACAATATCTACCTCACCACCCCTTCAGCACAAAAACAGAGAAACATAACATATGGATAAGAACTTACACACATACAAAAAGAATGAGTGGGGGATATTTAATCTATAATAATCTATGTGGCAATTTGAGTGCACAGGTGTATCCACAGAAGTGGCTGTTGCTATCCGGTAATAAAATAACTTCACCAGCAGGTGGCTCTATTACACTATTACACTAACTATTAGAGAGGACTGGGCTTCCAACAAAGGACCTTAAAATACAGTTCTTTTCTTTTCTTTTTCTTTTTTTTTTTTTTCTTTTGAGACAAAGTTGAGACAGGGTTTCACTCTGTCACCCAGGCTCTGAAATGGAATGCAGTGATTCAAACACAGCTCCCTGCAGCCTGGACCTACTGGGCTCAAGGAATCCTCCCATCTCAGCCTCCTGTGTATCTGGGACCACAGGCACACACTGCCAAACCTATCTAATTTTGTTACTTTTTGTAGTCTCATTTTGTTGCCCATGCTGGTCTTGAACTCCTGGGTTTAAGTGATCCTCCCACCTCAGCCTCCCAAAGTACTGGGATTACAGGCATGAACCACAGCACCCAGCTAAAATAGAGTACCGTATTTCTAAGTTATTTGAATTTTGGTTTGAATTAGCTCTAATAAACCCTATGTATTCATCGAAATCTGTAATGATATATGCAACATAAAACCCATTCACAGTGAAATCCAACAGATTCCTCCAAGCATCTCAGGAAATTAGGCACAACTAGATTATATCACAGAGCGTACTAATTAACAAAATCTATTTACTAGACAGCCAACCCATTTCTGGCACCATAGAACATGAAACGGGTAAAATGACTACCACTCATTCTGTATTACCTGACATACCTAACAGCAAAGGTTTCATATATATGCATACATAATGTGTATACATACATCTGTGTGTATATATGTGAAATATTGTTTATAATTCTTTCATTTGAAAGCATTCCAGGGCACAGATAAATAGCTAAATCACATCCAAGCGATGCCATTTGGCGATCTGAAAGTCTTTGGCTTTTGTGTAGGCACAGGGCCATGAGGTAGAGCCAGAGCCGTTCTTCCCCTCTCTGCCTGTTCTGCCGGCTCTTAAATTCAGTCCAAATTCTGT